GTCAGTTTGATGATCATGTGCAGATTAGTTCGCACCATTGTGTTCCCCATAACTACATATGACTGTGAAAGCTGGACGATGAAGAAGATGAACAGAAGGAAATTTGATTCTTTTGAGCTATGGTGTTGGAAGAAGCCCTTGTGCATTCCATGGACTGCAAAGATAACAAATAAATAAGTGCTGAAGCACATAAAACCAGACATGTCACTGGAAAGCAAATTAACAAAACTTAGACTTAGTCATTTCAGCTGTGTCGTGCAATCAACATCATTGGAAAAAGACTTTATACTTGGAACATTCAATGGTAAAAGGACACCAAAGAACGTGTTGGTTGGATGTAATCAAAGCAGACACTGGCCAAAATACAAAACAGCTGAAAGAATCTGTGCAAGATCGGAAATCATGGAGAGAACTGGCTCATGAAATTGCCAAGGTTCAGATACAACTGAATGGATAATTCAATTCAATTTGAAAAAGGACACTGGGTACAGATGTCTGTGTTGATGCTTTTGTTGTTGTTTAGTCGTTGTGTCCAACTCTTCTTGACCCCATGGACCAGAGCACACCAGGCCCTCCTATCTTACACTGCCTCCTGGAGTTTAGTCAAATTCATGTTGGTATCTTCAGTGACACTGTCCAACTATCTTGGCCTCTGTCATCCCCTTCTCTTGCCCTCACACTTACCCAACATCAGGGTTTTTTCCAGGGAGTCTTCTCTTCTCATGAGATGGCCAAAGTATTGGAGGCTCAGCTTCAGGATCTGTCCTTCCACTGATCACTCAGGGTTCATTTCCTTCAGAATTGATAGGTTTGTTCTCTTTGCAGTCCAGGAGACTCTCAAGAGTCTCCTCCAGCACTGCAATTCAAAAGGATCAATTCTTCAACAGTCAGCCTTCTTTATGATCCATTCGTCATCTTACTACAGGCTTACGAACGACCCGACTTGCGAACAATTCGAGTTACGAACCTGCCCTACAGGGAAAGTAAGGACTCGACATGAGAACTTCCCTCGAGTTACGAACAGGGAAAAAAGTCCCCCCTCCCTCCCCTTAGAGGCTTCTGGAGGGGGGAAAAGGGTCAGAAACTTAAAAATAAATACTGTACTGTTAAATAAAGTCACTTACCAGGCCTTGGTAGCCCCCAAACCACAGGAAAAAGAGCAGGAAAGAGCTAAAAGCCGACACCCAGAAAGAGCCTGGCAGCCATTTTGTGGTTTTCCCNNAAAAAGAGTTCTAAAGTGCTGCCTTTAGTGTTCCCTGCCTTCCCTGAACCTAAGGGGAAAAAAGAAAGAAAATATCCCCCTCTAGTGGCAGAAGGCAGAATAGCAGCTTCCCATTAGTTTCTATGGACAGAAAAGAGCAGATACGGATTAAATGGTTTTCAATGCATTCCTATGGGAAATGCAGATTCGACTTAAGAACTTTTCGACTTGAGAACCACCTTCCTATACGGATTAAGTTCTTAAGTCGAGACCCCACTGTATTTTCCTTGAGTCTCAGTCACTCTTTACTGATCTTTCTCACCAAAAATCACTTAGTTATCTACTCATTCCCAAAAGTGAATATCTGCAGTGGTATATGCATAACAGATGTTTAGTTATTCAGTGTATCAGTATATGAAATTAATCTTCAGAAACTGTGGTTTGGCAATAAATATTCACGGGACTAATGACCCAAAGCAAATAACCTAAAGAAAACGTTTCTCAGTACCTCTAAAAAGATGAAATTCCTAGAGATTTGTTTAAATGCATATAAAGAAGAAAAGACAGTTTCTCTCATGAACAGACTACGTTTAGAATAAGGAACATTTCATATTTTGGTTTGTCATCACTTTCCTCCCAAGAAGCAGGAGTCTTTTAATTTCATGGCTGCTGTCACCATCTGTAGTGATCATGGAGCCCAACAAGACAAAAGCTTATCACTGCCTCCATATCTTCCCCTTCTATTTGCCAGATGATGGGGCAAGTGGCCATGATCTTAGTTTTTTTTTTTTTTTGATGTTCAGCTTCAGACCATTTTTGCACTCTCCTCTTTCACCCTCATTAAAAGTTTCTTTAATTCATGCCTATCTGAGGTTGTTGATATTTCTTTCGGCAATCTTAATTCGGTTTGGGATTGATGCTAGAAGCTTTTAAACCAAATTGAGTGCACTGAGGCACTTCAGTTTAGGGGAAAATGTAAATACAGTGGCATTATCAATATTTTTCCCTCTTCTATCAGAAGCCTGGAGGAACAGAGAGAAATAATTGGGTACAGTTATCACTGGATATAAACCAAGAGGAAGATTTAGGAGGAAATGGGTGTACTAGAGGTGATGTTGATCTGTGTGTCAGGGATGACATAGTGTCAAGCAAGCCAAGTAATCTATGATTACATTGTGTATGAAAACATATGTCATAGTATGTTTTTGTTGTGCCATCCTAATGTGGCTACCTTCTGGAAATCATTTATCATAACTATTTATGTGAATTGTCGAAGACTCAATTGCTCAGTTATTTCAAGAGGGCAGGTTCCTGGGCTAGAAGTAAAGCCATTCTTACTCTGCAGATTAGCTTTAACTTCCTAGTAATGATTTTGTAAAGGTCAAACCTACCAGTAAGCAGAATGCCACAGGGTGCACAATTTATTTATTTATTTAAAATATTTCTATTTCGCCTTTCTCCCCAAAAGGGACCCAAGGCAGTTCACATCATTAAAAATATAGTATTAAAAAGCTAGAAACAGTAAATATACAAAGAGATAAAAAGAATTAAACAAATATATTAGAAACTTTAAATAACATAAATATTAAAAGATATTTAAAACAACAGAGTATAATCTATTTAATACCTCTCTCAGACCACCAGTCATTAAGGAAAAACCTGCATGGAGAAAAAAGTCTTTGCCTGTTTGTGGAAGAACAGTAAGAATGGGGCTAGCCTAGCTTCCTGTTGCAGGGAGTTCCAAAGTCATGGAGCAGCAACAGAGAAGCCCCTCTTTTATCCCCATCAGGTGTAGATGTGAGGGTGATGGGACCAAGAGAAAGGCCTCCTGTGATTATCTTAAAGCCAGGCAGGTTTATGTGGTATTTCAGATAGCTTGGTCCCTACCTGTTTAGGGCTTCATAGCTTAAAACCAGCACTTTGAATTGTGCCCAGAAACGGATTGGCAGCTACCCTGTTTCTCTGAAAATGAGACCAAACCTGAAAGTAAGACCTAGGATGATTTTTCAGGATGCTCGTCACATAAGCCCTACCCCCAAAATAAGCCCCAGTTAAGTGAAAGTATTTGAATAAATGTAGATTGTTGTACATGAAAAAAATACCCTGAAAATAAGCCCAAATGTATCTTTTGAGCAAAATTTATTTATTTATTTATTTATTTGATTTTTACCCAGCCCCTCTAGACAACGTCTACTTGAGCACCCTCGAAATTTAATATAAGACCCTATCTTATTTTCAGGGAAACAGAGTAGTGGAGCTGCTGTAACAGGGGTGTTATACGTTTCCTGTAACCAGTCACTGGCTGCGGCATTTCTGCCCCTCTGGAGTTTACGAACACTTTCCAAAGGCAGCCCCATTTGGAGGGTGTTATAGTAATTCAGCTGAGATGTAAATAGGGCATGTGTCACCGTGGCCAGATCAGACCTCTCAAGAAATGGGTGCAGCTGGTGCAATAGTTTTAACTGTGCAAAGGCACACCTGGCCACTGCCGAAACCTGGGCATCCAGGCTGAGAGCTGGATCCAGGAGCACCCTCAAGCTGGGTACCTGTGCTTTCAGAGGGAGTGTAACCCCATCCAGCACAGGCTGCAACCCTATTCCTTGATCAGCTTTTCAACTGTCTAGCAGCACCTCTGTGGCCACTGCCGAAACCTGGGCATCCAGGCTGAGAGCTGGATCCAGGAGCATCCTCAAGCTGGGCACCTGTGCTTTCAAAGGGAGCGTAACCCCATCCCACACAGGCTGCAACCCTATTCCTTGATCACCTTTTCAACTGTCTAGCAGCACCTCTGTCTTGTCTGGATTAAGTTTCAGTTTATTTGCCCTCATTGAGTCCATTACTGAGACCAATTTTATTTGCCCTCATTCAGTCCATTACTGAGACCAAAACACTAATTTAGAACCAAAACAACTTTCTTGGATTTCAATTGAAAGGAGAGGTAGAGTTGAGTGACATCCGCATTCTGGTGACACCGAGCCCCAAAAATCCGGACAACAGCTTCCCACTGGTTTCATGTGGATGCTGGATAGCAGAGGGGGCAAAACAGAACCCTGACGGACACCACTAGCCAAAGGTCAGGGTGTCGAATGGGTGTCGTTCCCCCCCCCCAGCACCACCCTCTGAGTTCTGAGTTCTCCCCTCCAGGAAGGGCCGGAGGAGCCACTGTAAAACCGTGTGTATCGAAAGCCAGTGAGAGGCGATTTTCTTCCAAAGTAACCTCACTGGCTTTGAGAACCACGCCTCTCGACTAGGGGAGAAGAACTCCTTTGCTCTCCTTCTGCATGCGCAATTTGAAGACACCCCCCCGGAATCCAGGTCTTTGCGGAACTTCATAGGAACTGCTACGGACTCTTCCAACTGCCGAAACCAAGCGAATTTCTGGGCTCAGCTTTCCAGAGGCTGAACGACGACGGCTCCAGGGCTCTCCTGGCAGGCCGAGAGAGCAGTCGCGGGGAGTGGGGAGAAAGGAAGGCTCACAAGTCCCCCTTGAGTCACCGGGCCGGAGGCAGGGACCGCCCACTCCTCTCTGGCCTCCCCGGAGGTCCGCCGCCCCCGCCCCCGGCCCACGCCGTTCACCAGCCAACCTCTTCCTGTAATCCTCCCTTCACCTCAGAGACACCACGCCACCCAATCCGACGAGCCTGAAGCCATCGCCACGGCAACTCCGGTCGACCAATCTGTGGGGATCCCGCCCATGCCTTGACTATATCCAATTGCGAGCCTCCGTTTGGGCAAGCTGTCCAATAAGGAGGGGCGATCCGGCCCCCCCGACGCCCCCCGCCAATGGCCGAGAGGCTTTTGCTTCCCCTTGGCCCAATGGAAAGCCACACGGCTGCGGTCCTTCTTCCACGGGAGCCGAGTTAGGCCAAACCCGGCTGCCGCCCGCCTGCACTTTGGGTTTTCGCCCGGGCGGCGGCCGCTGCTTGTCTTGGCCTTTGTCCCTCTCAGGCTTCCCTTTTTCCCTGTTCCTGTCCGAAGCTCGGCGGGCCCTCCGGCCGCCGCCGCCGCCGCCGCCGCCAGCCCCTCGCCGTGTGCCTCTTCCAGTGACTTCTCCCTGGCCTCGTGGTGCCTTCCGGCGGCGCCATCCCCCCTCGCGGGGGCTGTGGCTCAGCCGGAGGAAGAGGAGGAGGAGGAGGAGGGAGATTAGCCCCGCTGCCGCCACCGGACTTTTCTCCCGCGCGCCCCCCCCTCCCGTCATTCCCCCTTCCCGAACACCATAGGCGGCTCAGGCACCAAGATGTCCAACCGAGTGCTCTGCCGGGAGGCCAGTCACGCCGGCAGCTGGTACACGGCCTCAGGTAGGGCTCGGTCCCAAGCCTCGCGGGGCGGTGGGTGTCCTGGGGCCCCGCTTCGGGCACCCGGTCGGGAGACGGTCAGGGTTGTGGCCGAAGGGCGGCCCGCTCAGGGGCTGGAGGGCGAAATCGGGCTAGAACGACCGCACGCGAGCTCGCCGCCGCCTGCCCTGTGATCAGGATCCACTTTGAGAGGTTCCTTTCATGTCAAAAGTAGGTGACGGAGACCTAAAAGTGATTAATACTCCTCGGCAATTAATAATCGGGAGTAAGTAATCCACGAGTGGGCTACCTTGTCGTGCTCTGCACGGTGTCGCTCTCGCAGCATTGGAAAACGGGGCCGAACTCGTTTCTGGTAAGAACGAAATCCTCTCTCTGAGACACCAAGGAAGGGTACATTACCTTGGTGACTAAATCTGCATTAAAATTCAAAGGGTGCTCCAGGAGGAGGGGGAAAAGTGTCTCGAAAGACCAGCCCATTTATTGTGCCCGAAGCTTCGGTGGCCCGTAGTCCTCTCAAGCAGGCGCCGCGATTTGCTGGAGGCTTCTGCCCAAAGGGAGCCTGCAGCTTGGACGGGTTTACTTAGGTGTAAATTGCACTGATCCAGCACAGCCTATTTACAAGGACATCTTTTACGGCGGCACGGGGGTGTATGTGTGCTTAATGGGGCTCAGAAGCTCTTGATGGGGGAAGAGTGGGAAAGAAGGTGCCTTGTTGCAAAAGCAACGCGACATTGCTTTCAATGAAAAGAGGTCGAGAGGCGCTCGTTGCTGGGGTGGGGGTGGGCGATGGGGGTGGTGGTCTCCCCCTCCCGCCTTCCTCCTGGGCCGGTGGGCCTCGAACTGAATCAGCACTTTCTGTCTGGAATGCAGAGGCCCTTCCTTCCCCAGTGTCTTCGTCTGGTTTCGGCCTTTGGCCTTTTTCTTTCCCCTCCTCTCCCCTCCCCTTCTCCCAGCACACGAAACCATTAGCTGCCGGCCGGCCAAAGCGGGATTCCCGGCCAGGCTCCAGAGGATTGAGGACGCTGGGAGAAATGCAGCTAGGGAAAATCTCCCCTGCTTGCGCCTTCCTTTGAATATCCTCGCTTTGAGGAAACTGACAGACAAGACAGCGCCTTTCTGGCAGTGGGCTTCTGGGGAGGGGGGGGGGAGAAAGCCCTAGGAAACGGACAGACAAGACAGCGCCTTTCTGGCAATGGGCTTCTGGGGAGGGGGGGGGAGAAAGCCCTGCAGAAGAATCTCTTGGCAATTTATTGCCAGAAAGAACCAGCTGAAGATTTGCAGGGTATGAATATGAAGGGGTCATTTAGGGTAATGGCAGGGAGAGAGAAGAAATGAATTATGGGAACACAGCAGTTGTAGCCCTGGATCGGTTTGGTAGGCATCTTGTCTGGCCTGATCTCTTGGTACAGCCAGATGGATTGAACATTTTTTTAAAATACTCTTGGAGGAAATACAGAATTTTTGAAAGTGATGCTTTGTGTAGTTTTGGATTAGAGCCAGGGCTAAATGATGTTCTGTGCCCTAAGGAGAAAAATACTGCTTGCTTCACATTTATAAAAGTCATGCAGGTGCAGGAATTATTAGGGAGACAGCAGTTCTAGTGGTGCTTTTGGATGTCAGTTGCACATCGATGCTACTTAAAATAGGAACAGATAGAGCCCGAGCGGTTGTCAGTCTTTCTCCCCTTTTGTTCCTTCTTGCCTGCTGTGGAAACGCTGCGTGCAGAAGTGCCCTCTGCAGGGCAGAAGGTGTAATTTTTCTAGACTAGGATTGCTTCCTGTGTTTCTCCTTGAGCTGAGAATAGAGTTCAGTCCAGCCAGTACACTGCTCGAGGGAGTGGCAAAGAAATGAAACTTCTCCATTTTAATAAACAGATATAATTTAGATGAAGGATAGACACCAAAATGTGGAGAAAGGAGAGATGCATTGCATCTCAGTGAAGAAGCATGCAGATGTATGTGATCAGTCCCATGCTAGTCAGTGAATCCAGACAATGTGTGAGGAGCTAGGTAGAAGGGGTGCAAGTGGATGGAGCAAGGGAAGTGTTTACTCTTCCTTTCTGTATAATGATAAAGTGAAGTTTTGAGTTGAGCATACTCCTTTTAAGGGAAAAACTGCTTAAAGTACTCTGGTAGATGTAGTAACAGGTTTAAAACTGCTTTCATGTACGGTATTGTTCCAGTTGCTCAGTGTCTAAACTTGCTGGATGAGTTGCAGAATGAACACACACCATACTCTTGAGAGTTGGCAGCAAGACAAAGACTGAGCAGGCTGGCTAGACAGGTTTGCTGGTGTCTCTTATATGCTTACAGAAAAACCTTAATACAAGCTTAATAATTGCAAAAAAAACTTGTATAGGCCAGGGTTCTATGCTTTTAAAATAAAACATGTATTTGTACATCAAGCGACAAAATGATGGGTAAGTTCATACAGTGGTGCCTCACTTTACGATTGCCCCATATTACGACAAAACTGCTTAACGACGATCTTTTTGCGATCGCAAAACGGTGATCTGAATGGGGGAATTTCGCTTTGTGATGATCGGTTCCCTGCTTCGGGAACCAATTCGTCGCAAAACGACGTTTTTCGAACAGCTGATCGGCGGTTTCAAAATGGCTGCCGGGCGTTTAGGGACAGATTCCTCGCTATACAGGCAGCAAAAATGGCCGCCGTATGGAGGATCTTTGCTGGACGGTGAGTTTTTACCCCATTGGAATGCATTGAATGGGTTTCAATGCGTTTCAGTGGGCTTTTTATTTTCACTTTACGATGTTTTAGCTTAATGGCGATTTTCCTGGAATGGATTATCGTCGTTAAGCGAGGCTTCACTGTATTTTATGAGCATAGTTATGTGACTCCCTGGAGAGTATCATGGTTATGGTGGCACATGCTTTCATGAAGCAGAGTCAGCAGAGGGATGAAGTACAAGCAGATAGGCTAAAAAGACACAAAATGCAGAAGGTTTAGTCTCTGTGAGTGAAATGTAATGCTTTAATATATACAAGAACAGGGACCATTTCCAACGCTGGTATACATCTTTTGTTATTGCTTCCACTGTAAGTTTTGTTTAATGACACTCACTTCATAGGAGGTGCCGGTCCACAGTGTTCAAAATGCTGCAGATGTCAGAATTCTTGATTTGGACCATATTTTTGTCATGTCTGACACTTTATTTATATTACAGATAACTAGAAGGAGTTTTTTCCTCCAGTTATCTATAATATTAGAAATATGAATTACTATTCTATGCTACTTTTTTGTTAAAATAACAAAAACCTAAATTAATACATGGAGATGAACGCCTGTGAGGAAAGAGCTTTCCTGGTTTCTAATAAAGTAGTAGATTGAATAGAATGTAAAATTTCAGAAAATTTCCATTTTTTCTGGGGAAAAATGGGAAATGTTTTTACTGGAAAAATTGGATTTTTTCCTGAAATTTTACATCTCTAATTAGTGTTAGTGCAACTAGTGTACATTTTTTCCTAAGATTGACTTGATTGTTTAAAATAATATTTTAGTAGCTTATTGTAAAAACATACAAAGTGAGATGTTTCCCTAGAAACATGCTTACTACTCTTCCATAGCCAGCCTTGTTGCTGCTTGGACTGGTAATTGCTCTTTTATATGGAGAGTTGAAAGCCAGAACACCAGACATTGTTAAGCATTAATGAAATAAATTACTGTGTAAATACTGTATTCTGAAAAGGAACTGATTAGGCAGATGTATGAATACATATATGAAGTGTGTGTGTTACTATTAATATAATAAGACTTCAGAACTGCTTTTTGTCTCTTTCTGTCCTGCATCATGATCTGTTTTGAAGATGATGACTGCTGTGCAGTTGAGCCCACAATTTCTTTTTGTGCTAGCTAGCCTGCTTATCCACACATGCTTGCACTAGTCCTTTATTGCACCCTGGGCCACAAGGGAACTTCTTTCCAATTTGCAACTTCCCTGGTTGCCTGAAGTAATTCTTAACTCATCACAAACAGGCCAGAGGCTATATTCAAGCCTGCATCCAATTCCTTCTGTTGTTTGGCTTGAGGGTTCTATGTCATAATTATCAAAGGTATTCATTGTGAATATGTGTGAAACATCTTAGAAATGTTTGTTTGAATGATGTGGAATAAAACCAATACGATTAAAATAAGTAAAATAGACCACACATATAGTTTTGTGTGGGGTTCTTTTTATATTTGTGAGTCATGGAATAAGTTGCCTAGATTATGATCTGCTTCTGGTCTTTTAAGCCAGACACCTCAAAGTTGCTGTGAACTATTGTGGTTAGGTTTATTTTAACACTTAGCATTGTAAGTACTTTCATTATATATATTTTTAACTCTAGAGTTCATTCTTCTTCAAATAAAAACAGCTGCTAAGGTTTATTTTCTTCAAATAAAAACAGCAGCTCAAATTTAACTTAGCCAAATTTAATTGGTTTACACCAATTTATGATAATTGTAATCTTCAGAACAAAAGATAATTCGAGATGGGATGTATTTATAGTAGCAACATATCAGAATACTGCTGCATCCTTATTTTTGTTATGGCATTGATATAAATATCTCCTTGACTCATTGTATACTGTCTCTTAGCCCCTCATCATCCCAAATGGGTCGCTGAGATTTGTCACCACATTTTTAAACAAAATGCAAAACAAAAACAAAAAACCCCCGAAGAAACAAATATTTATGGCATATTAAAGGCTGTTCATCATTAAGGTGCTACAATGTATTTGTGTCTTGTTTTTTGTTTTGTTTTGCTTTGCTTTTTGTCTGATAGGCGCACACAGACTAACTTAGCTACTCCTTTGAAAAGTACACATTTTAAAATGCAGTTTGTGGCAAAAGAGAGGATCAGACATTTTCCAGAGGCTGCTAGAAGTACTGTTGTATTGTATGGTAAAATAGATCTTATAGAGGAGTCTAGCCCCCAGATGTGCTAGCTGTGGAAGGTTCAGATGGTGTGAAAATGCTCTCCATTGCTCAAGAAGTGTGTATTTTCCTAGTGGGCCCATCATTGTTGGGAAAATCTCTGTGGTGCAAATATGGAGCAGGTCAGAGGCTGCCTTGGACGCCCTGGATCCAGAGCCCATCTGTCCTGTGGAGTTGGGGCAGTTTTGCCCTCAGTGAAGGGGAAGTGGAATTTCAGTAGGTAAAGAACTGCCAGAGAACTCTAAAGGAAGAAAGCAACAATGCCATTCTGTAGATCATCAGCCCCAACCTTTTTGGGGCCGCGGACCAGCTGGGGGGAACGAGCTCCATGCAGGGGTGGATGGCAGCACTCCTGTGCAAGCGCAGTGGATGTGTTACGCTTATGCAGTGGGCGTGTCACGCTCGCGCACATTCGTGCAGGTGTGACATGCCCTCGTGCAAGTGCGACACCCCCCGCGGGCACGTCATGCTCCCTGCGTGAGCGTGACATGCGTGCGGGGGGACGGAGATCCGTATCCGCAGCCTAGTTTTGGCAATCCCACGAACCAGCACGAGGCCACGGACCAGGGGCTAACGACCCCTGCTGTAGATGACTTGCTTTTTTGGCCATATTTTATTTGGTTGTAAATATATTAGCATTCCGAATTTGCTCTGGCGAGATCACCAGCATAATTGTCAGATCAGATGATATGATCAGAAAATTCAAATTCACACTGCAACCAGCAGTGTAACTATTGCACTTTATTGGTGGCATGAATTTTTATAGGAATTGAGTACACAATAGGAAGCACATAGGTTGTTGTCTGTTAAAGGACATAACACAATACGTTAGGATTTATATTGTTTCTGGTTGTTCCCTTTCCAGAGCCAGGTCCAGAAATTGAGGATGGACCAATCAAATGAAATGTGCATGTATGCTGTATACAGTGTGTTTGCACAAATAAATACTTCCTTAGTTTCAATCCATAACTTTGTAAATATTCAAACTGTTCTAATGATTATTAGTCTTGTGCCTTTCACTATCTAGCTAGCTTCTGATGAGTCTTATTCAATCTTGTTTGCTGGTATTTAGCGCTATCCAGTATTGGAGCCTGATACTTCTAATGATACACCCCTGCTTTTAATTATTTTTATTGTGCCGTTCACTGCAGTTTGTCCAGTGAAGCAGCCTACAGTACTTCCATACTTGATTTTGGCTGAAGTAGCTCTTGACACAGACTGGATGTGTTGGGAGGTGCAACAGCGTGAAAGGGAATATTTCAGGAAAATTGGAGAGGGTGCTATTGAAAGGAGATTCTTTCTAGAGCGATGTTGTTAAATATTGAGCCTTGTTAAAAAGAAACAGTTTTTTAAAGGAGTTTGAAATATTGTAACAGTCAGTCATAGGACAGGAACTGTTGCTGCATATAATATGGGCAGAAAGATTGTTTCCTACAAGCACTTTTTAAACCCACCATAGAATGGTATGGAGTGCCATTTTTCTGGAGTCTGAGAATGTCTCTTTGCTTTCCCCCCTCCATGCTGTGTTTGCAAACAATACCTCAAGAGAGATTTGAGCAGACGCAGGGCTAACCAACTTTAGTAGCATGGAAGCTCTGTAAGTGTCCTTGATGTGCTGACCATGGTTGCCCAGCACCATATCTGCAGCAAATGTCTGTCCCATGTGGATACCCTGTCACAGTGCTTTCTGGCTGGTCAGAATCGCAAAAGCTCTGATGGATGGGGGCAAGCGATAGTTTAAGAAGCATGTCGTTTTTGTCTTTAGTGTGTAAAATATTACTTAAAGTGCAATGTAATCATTTGATCTGCCCAATTAATGGATAAAAAGAGATCACTCCTGTTTCTTCAAGTAATATGGTAATCTGATCTTTTACCAGTATTATTCTTTAACCAAATATCAATGAATAGTGAGTGAGGTGGTTTTGTATTTGTTGAAATTTGTGTAAATATGGGTCAAGAATTAAACTGGCAGCTACTTGTCAATAGCCTTCTACTGTAGTAATATGGTTTTTTTAGTGCAGTTAAAATTAGTTACCTTATTTTTCCATAAGATACCCCATGTATAAGAAGCCCCCCCACTTTTCTAACCCCAAATTGAGAAATCAATATTTTAAACATAAAACAGAATACATTTTTATTGAGTAATTAGGTAACATTTACATACCAGTATTGTCATATTATGCATCACACTTAGCTTTGAGCATATCGTTTTATTCAGCCTCTGGGCTCAGAATCCTCCAACATTACTCTGTTGCATCTGAGCAGTGCCTACATGCTGCACCTTCAGCGAGGTGTGTTCCATTTGGTTTGTTCAGCATCAATTGACATCAGTTACATAAGGCTCGTGATTGGAGGAAGCCTGTTTACAGAGGCAAGGTATAGCCATTTTGCAATCAGGGCGGTTTTCTCCTTAACTTACTTCCGTGTATAATACGACACTCAATTTTTAGTCTAAAAATTTTAGCTAAAAGTATTATCTTATACATGGAAAAATACTGTATTCTTTTTCTGTCATGATTCTTTTATTTCTAACAATATGTTCAATATTTCACTATCCACTGTTTACAAATACTATCTTTGAAGCCATAAGAAAGCATTAAAATAGTACAAATTTAATTCTAAGGATGGTTCTTTTGGTGGTACTCTTTTTTTCAACATTTGTTTCTTTGTTTAGGACCTCAGCTGAGTGCACAGCTAGAAGGTTGGCTTTCTCAAGTACAGTCTACAAAAAGACCTGCTAGAGCCATCATTGCACCGTAAGTTACTTGTATGCCCAGTACTTCCACCACATGAAGAGCCTTGGAAAGCAGCTGTACCAAGTATTCACATGCATGTATTTGGAACAAAACTGGTGCTTACAGGCGGGCGGGGGAGAAAATGACATGTTTTTTGGTATAATTCTTGATACTTACTCCTATTGGCTGCTCAATCAGCTGGTTTCTTCTCTTAAATTTTTACTTTAAAATACAATGAATTGGATCCAGAGTAGTTTAGACACTTGATTTCTGTTGAAATGAATAAACTTGAGCATCCACTTGTTCTCCTGTATTCTTAAATATACATATACCCATTCAGTCATATACATAGACAGCAGCTGCTAACCTGTTTCTTGAGGAAGGGAGATGGGAAAGGAGATGATAGAAGAGAGATTTAAATGGAGAAGAGAGAGAGCTACTTCACCAGTTCAGTTGGTTTGCATACTTTTTGGTGAAGCAGGAGCAGAACAGTCTCCTTTGCCAGCCTGTATTGGACTGGCAAAGTAGTCATTTTTTTCCATGTTGCTGCTCAGCCGTTTCTAGAGCAAGGGGTGGGAGGGAGCCAGAGATAAGGGGAGGTTCAAACCTCTCATTGACCTTCCACCCTCCTTTCCACTCATGAAATGGTTGAAAAGTGCAGAAATCCTGTTTTGGCTGCATTGGAATTTCTGCCTAAAGGGATCAGCTTCTACTGGAGCAGGGCTTTTGTCACCTCATACCTTTCACAAAAGTCTGTGGTTTGTAGGGGAGACAGGTACCTTGACAGGAAAGTGTGGTGGGGGCAACATCTAGCCTGCAGGCCCAAAATTTCCCATCGGTCCTATCTGCCAGTAGAGAGCCAATTAAGATGAGTTGCTCTTTGATTTCCAGTAGACCAAGTGGGTGTGCTGCTTCTATCTGCTACTGTTTTCCAGCTATCAGGTATATGCTACATTTCAGCCCCTTCCTAACTTCAAAGAGATGATTGTTTTATTAATTCACTGATTGTTAGAATTTCTGTATAGAAACAATGTATTTATTTTTTGTAGACATGCAGGCTATACTTACTGTGGGTCTTGCGCAGCTCACGCTTACAAACAAGTGGATCCTTCAATCACGTAAGTAGCACAAGAAAAACCTTACAATAAACACACTAGAACTTGATTTGAGTAGGTTCTGGTGTTAAGACAAAAAGAGATTATTTTAGGAAAAGAGTAAGCTAGATACATCAGAGACAAATTCTTTTTCTGCCCTGCCAGAAACATGATTAGTTGAATCCAGAATTTAATCAGAGTTCAGCCCCCAGAAATGGGGCATGATAGCCATGTTTGCCTGTTCTTTCTCCCCCTTGCAACCCCATCAAAAGTGGTGATTCAGGGGCCCTTCTGAACAGAGTAGGAGCTGTTGCCATGGCCTGCAGGAAGATGGAGGAATTTCACTACTTTGTTTCCCTTCCTCCAGTGGAAAACCTCCACTTAATTTCAATCCTCTCCTACTGGCAAAAGAAATCTTCCTGTTTGAATGATCAAACCTGGGTCCAAACGATAGTCTGTAGCTTTGCTTCACTCCTTAGTACAGATGGTTAAGATTGGGTGATGTGTTTTAGAGGAATGCAGTTTTAGAAAATGGATCCAGGGTTTAATACTGGGGTACAGAAGCTATTGTCTTCAGAAGTTGTCAGACTCCTCCTCCATTGAGCCCGAGGGGAATTATGCCCTGGAATAATGGGAATTGTATTTGAACATCCTGAGGGCCATACATTCCCTGCCATGGGATGAATGGTTATGAGGGTCCATTGTCAAAAACAAAGCCATACAACATTGGTCTCTCTCTCTCTCTCTTTCTCTCTCTCTCTCTCTGTGCTGCTCTTGTGTTCTTTCCTGTTCTTTTCTTATTTGTCTGCATTTTCGTTGCCAGCAACATGTAAGATTGTTCAGGATTCATACACTTTGAACAAGTATATGTACATGAAACATTGTGTAGGAAACAGTAATTTTAATACATACTTATTTATTTATATTATTTGTACACCACCTTTCTCCCCATATGGGATCCAAGGCAGCTCACAGCAGATGAAACAACAGATTTAAAAACCCATTATAAATATCACGTTTAAAAACTATTAAACATATGTTGCGATTTAAAAACATGATTATAAACAATTTCAAAAATTAAAAGCCTGTAAGTTCAAACCAGCATTCCCAAGACAACTTAAAAGCCTGCTTAAAGAGGAAAGTATTTGCCTGTTGATGCAAGGAAGGGGAAGGGCGCAGCCTGGCTTCTTGGAGCAGCACATTCCAAAGCCTGAAATCAACCACTGAGAAGGCCCTCTGTTGTGTCCTTATCAAATGAGCTTGGGAAGCTAGTGGAATCAAGAGAAGGGCTTCCTCATAAGATCTTGAAAGCCCAGAAAACTCATGTGGGTTGATACGATTCTTCAACTAGTTTGGACTCAAGCCATATAGAGCTTTATAGGTAATAACCAGCACTTTGAATTGGACCCAGAAACTGACTGGCAGCCAATGAAGCTATTGTAATAAGGGAGTTACATGTTCCCTATAACCAGAGCCAGTCAGTAGACTGGCAGCCGTGTTTTGGGCCCAATGAAGTTTCCAAACTCTTTAAAGGCAGCCCCATGTAGAGTGTATTGCAGTACAGTGGTGCCTCGACTTACAAACGTCCCGACTTACAACCAAACCGAGTTACGACCAGCTCCGGACGCGAAATTTTGCTTTGACTTGCGACAAGCTTCGAGTTATAATCAGAAAAAAGGCAGGGAATTCAAACTGCTAACCGTTGGTGACGAAGAGGCTGCTTCTTTGTAGCTCTTTCGCCCCAGTGGTTAGAGAGTGTGCGTTCGGAGGAGGCTTCAGACTGCTTGGTAAGGTGCTGCTTTTTGCTTTTTAAAAACTACCTGTTCCGGGAGGGATTTGCAGCATGGATTTGGGCTGGGAGGGTTATGTTTCTTTGCTGTGATGGGTCTTTCAGTCTTTGTTTTTTGGGGGATTTTTCGCGTTTCCAATGGGTCTTGCAGGGTTTGTTTGCTTTTTCGTTTT